TGTGTTTTTCTGGCAATATGGGGTGCTGTGTGTACATTAATGAGGAAAAAAAATTAACAAATGATTTTAGCAAATGGCTGCAATATAACAAAGAGTGAAAAATTTAAGGGGGTCTGAATATTTTCCGTACCCACTGTATATATACATACATATATACATATATATATATATATATATATATATATATATATATACAGTATATAGAAACAGACTAAGAAAAGTCACAAAGTAAGAAAGACAGGAAGACTGAAGGAATGAGCTTATGGAAAAGTAAGTAAGGAATAAGTGAGGGACACAGAGAAAGGCCACAGAGGTCAAAAGAAAGAAAGAGGGTGAGTGTGAGAGAGTAAGAGAGTGCACGTGTTGATATCTAAAAGCACAGGTGATCTTTAAAGACTCGCAGGGCAAAGCAGAACAAAGAAGCACATGAGTCATCTCTCTCTCACACACACACACACATTCACGGGTCATCTCAGCACCTTAACCTCTAGAACAGATACACAGGACCAGCCCTTTACAAACAAACACTTAGGAAAACCATAAATACACACGCACACACAAATCAGATGACATGCCACCACTACTGCAGATTATTATTAACATTCAGCTGAAGGGTGAGACAGGTGAAATTAAAAGAGAAACTGCAGCGCTACACAGTAAAGGCTAAAATATTCTTGATATCCTTCTCAATGTGACACTCAAATCACCCAATTAAAGTCCAAGATTTTACAGCCTAATGATACTCAAGCACAGCTGTATGGAAATCACACTGCAGACATCATGCTTCTCAAACCATTTCATGGTGTGCTTTATGGATCAATATGGTAAACTGTGGCCCTAAAAAGTAAAACCTAAACACTTTTAAAAAAGCACATTAAACAAAAAATATATCAAACCAACCAACCATTGAGTGTCCAAATACATTTTTATTTTAAACATTATTATTGTACATTTAATTAAAAAGCTTTTACAATATTCTTTTTGTGTTTTGCTTGAAAAGTGTGCTATAAAGTGTGTTATATTTCTTCAAAAAATGCCACTTGGTGTGACATTTTAATGTGTATTTCAAGGACATTTATACATTTTGTGGGTGGCCTAAATGTCCAGACATTTTTGGGGCCACTGTAAAAATGGTGACTTACCGTGGTTAGAACTAAAAGGGGAGTTAGAACAGGTCTCACTCTGGCAGCTCATAGACTCCTTCACATTCCTCTTCTCTAAAACACAAACCAAACAAATATTCACTTGTTAAATATAGTTTTTTTTTTGTAAAAACATGAAAATACATTCATAGCATGTGCTTAACAATTTAAAAAGTCTGATTTGATTTAGTTTATTTGTCATATTTAGGGAAAAACTATTTCAACAGCAATCAGCAAGACAACTGAAGCTCATCTACCAAGTCAAAGGTTTTGTATTTCCACAACTGAAATGATTAATTCAAGAATCATGCGTGTTGTATTCCAGTGCACGCGTGTATGCATGTGCCCTTTCTGTCCCCAGTGCTTGTACAGTGCACAGAGGAAGTGATTACATAAGGGAGTGTGGCCACTGCTGGGTTATGCAACAGGTGCCATGTGCTAGCAGGTCCTCAACACAGTTACATGGCCATGTGTGTTCATATAAACACATATACACAAACACAAATATTCCCCTTCAAACATTAACATGTGCATGCATGAATGCACAGATACACCGAGTACATACTGAATACATCACATCATCTGAATACATGATGTGGTAATCTCTCTAAAAGAGACATTTCTATTCATACTAAGTTGTTTACACATACGATACGGAGGGTTGCACATTAGCACATGATAATGACTTCATAATAATGCTATAACACTAGGGAAATATGAAACGAAAGTCCAAAACCACAAGTTGTATGCAATGTACGGCTGGAGAGATAGGAGGCCACCACAGCAAAGAGCATATGCTTACTTAAAGCAGGGAGGCGGTCGACTTGCATGAGGAAGTCATCTTTAAAGAAGAGGAAGCCCACAATGGAGAAGAGGTAGACCAGGATGATAGCCAGAACAGCTGTGAGGAAGATGGAGCGGCCGTTCTTCGTCACGCTCCTCATCACGTTTAGGAGGGTTTCCTCTCTTCGCACAAGATCAAACAACTAGAGGGAATAAAAGAGAGAAAGAGGAGGATCTTATAAAGACATGTTGTTCCAGAAATTAAATTATTTATGTTGTCATTGTTATAAAGCCAAAAAGAAATAATTAAATTTGCATTAAATTGATCTAAAATGACAGTAAAGGCTTTTACATTGATACAAATTTTTTTTTTTTAATAAATGCTGTTTTTTGAACTTTCTATTCAAAATCGATTCAGAAAAATCGATTCTATTCAGAATCCTGAAAAAAAGTATCACTTTCCACAAAAATATTAAGCAGAACTTTCAACATTAATAACAACAAGAAAATGTTTCTTGAGCACTAAATCAGCATAACATCATGTCACACTGAAGATTGAAGTAATGGAAGCTAAACATTTAGATTCACAAACATAGGAATACATTATGTTTTAAAATATATTAAAATAGAACAGTTATTTTACATTAGAATATTTTACAATATTTCTCCATTTAGTATATTTCTGATCAAATAAATTCACCCTTGGCAAGCAAAAGAAACATTCACTTTAAACCCCTGAATTAAATCATTAACTTTTACTACAGAAAATTAATTATAATGCAAAAAGTGTGAAGTCGTACCAGGATACTGTAGAAGAACTCATGTACAAACAGACCCAGCATGCAAACGATGACGTAACTGACATGCAGAAGGAAGAAGACGTCCATGATAACTGCTTTGTACCCTCGTGTGAACGTGCCCTGGTTCCCCACAAAACTAACCAGGAACACGATTTTATTCAGCAGCTGTGAAAAGACATCAGAAGATAATGCTATAGCATTAGCATCCTTACAATCACATTAAAAGATTCAACAGCCTTCAATTCAAACACTTTTCTATGGAAGCGCTTTAGGCCTTTTTTGTACAGGTAATTGCAACTTTTTATCTTACAATTCTTACAATTTTTCTTGCAATTACAAGTTTATATTTCACAATTCAGACTTTTTTCCCCAGAATTCAGAGTTCACAAATTGCAAATCAGACTTTTATTTATTTTATTTTTTTTATCAATGATGAAATGGGCGTCAATACTTTTCAGTCATATAGCAAAAAAAAAAAAAAAAAGCATGATAGCTGCAAATAATAAAGTGCACATAACCATATAAAGCATACATAGCTTGGAAAATAAATAGGGTTATAAATAAATAACTTTTAAAAGAAAGAGAAAAGGTTTCCATATTCTTCTTGGCTGACATCGCAAAGTAACACAAAGTAAGTGCGTCTAGGGAGAAGCTAGCCAGATTAAGCAGACATCAACACGGCCAGTTGTGTGACATGCCCTCATCCTCAAAACCAGGAGCAAGTTGAAAGAAAATACATACGAGTTCACTTGCAGCGAGAATAAACACCGTTTGTGGTGACCACTAGAAGACGTGGCGAGTGGCGTGTAGTATAACAGATCCCAGACTCCTAGAATCTGTTTCAGCACATGTCTCTGTTGGTTCTTCATGTGGTGCCATAATGGCTGAGGAGACGCCAGCTTGAGCAGACGCAAACAGACTGACACAACAGAGGGAAGTGTCAGCAGTTTGATGGCTGAAGCTCCAGTTGGCTGGGAGAGAGGCATGAAATCGCTCTCATTTTTTATCTGAACGCACATCAAGCACATCAGCCGCTTTTGTCATCATAACTGACATTGATGCAAAATGGCAACACTAGTTCCTATGAAAATAATAAGCCATTTTATTCCAGAAATGTAATTTCCATCACTGTGTGATGGAAATGACGAAGGTGGAAATTACATTTCTGGAATAAAATGGCTTATTATTTTCATAGCTTGTGCAAGTTCTCCCACTTAAAAAGATGAGAGAGGCCTGTAATTTTCATCATAGGTATACCTCAACTATGAGAGACAAAATGAGAAAAAAAATCCAGAAAATCACATTGTAGGATTTTTAAAGAATTCATTGGTAAATTCCTCGGTAAAATAAGTATTTGGTCACCTACAAACAAGCAAGATTTCTGGCTCTCACAGACCTGTAACAACTTCTTTAAGAGGCTCCTCTGTCCTCCACTCGTTACCTGTATTAATGGCATCTGTTTGAACTCGTTATCAGTAGAATAACGTGGCTATATATATAAAAACTTAATTACAACTGAATTAAAAAAATTAAGATACATTTTTTTAAATGTCCGTCTAAAAATGCAAGACTAAAAAATGATAACATAACTGGAAATGATGCACTATTAAAAAAAACTTTCAAGTGATTATATTTTTTTCTCGAATTTCTTTATATTTCGCTCTTCATCTCATGTATACTCTTCACTGACACTGTTGTCTACTTGGTAAACAAGTACATTAACTTTTGATCAAATGTTATTATCTAATAAAAAGCAGAATTGTTTGTTGTGGTGGAAATGATGCTACAACTGGGGGACAGTCATAATTTGTGTAAAAATATATAGATATAAAATACAAATACTGTATAAGACAAAAATAGATATTAATTATTTTAACAAAATAAATAATGAAACGGTTTATCATATTTTTTAAGATCAAAACAGCTTCTAACATGCAATAACTAAACTTTATAATGGATTTTCATAGTTTAATATTGGCTATTAAAGTATGGCTCTGGGACAATGGTACAACACTAAAATAAACACATCTATACAGTTGAAAGGTAGCAAAAATAAACAGAGGCCTTAAAAAGTTTTAACGTTAGCTTCATATAATAAAAAGAAAAAGCTGAATAAATATTGCTAAAATTCAACCACTGAGACATTAAAGTGTTTGAAGTTGCAGGAACAGCCATTAATCTATTAGTGACACATTGGTGACTCGGCTAACACAAATCACATTAGCAATTTAGCACTTTCATAATGCCAATGCAACCCCTGGATGAGTCAATTCATAAGAGGTCAGGACTGATCAAATTGATTACTTCAAAATCAAAACATTTTAAGAGCTGCCCACGCAGAGGAACTCTGATGTTTATCTCAATGACTGAATACCCGCAGCGATGTGGCCAAGATGCATTAGTGAGACAACAGCATCCAGAGACAACCTAATCAAAAACAGCGCACTGAAAATCATTTCTAACAGATGACAGGATCAAAGGCCAACGAACGATCAATGATGCTCTGCAAGATCCAAGCTATTCGTTTAAGTAAAGAACCATCTCCTTAAAAATAAGGCAATTTATACATAAAGAAGGATGCTTAATCTATTGAATCAAACTAGTTACTTTTCTATTAACCTTGTGTGCTCCTCATTTGGGAGTCACATTCATGGTCTTCGCGGTCAAAAGTGACCGGACACCTGAAATGTAACTTTTCTTTTCTTCAGTAAAATCAATCTAATATATTTTTGTTCAATAATATTTTTTCTTTTGTATTTTGAGAGATTTCATGGTACTAATTAATATTTATGCAATAATTATGATCATTTTTTCCCATTGAAAATAGTAAAAAAATATATATATTTTTCAATTAATGCAGTATTTCAGATTAAAATAGAGACTCGGCCTTTAAAATCTAATTTTTGAAGGCAGAATAGCAGAGAAGGGTCTGGCTGTAGCCTGGCGCTTGCACTCAGGCGTGCATTCTCAGGCTTGCACTCTCAGACACTCTGCTGTTCTGTGGCCACGGATTTGCGGGTCTTGTCTTTTTCTTGCAGGACCCTGTAGGTTACGGTATTAAATTAGTTTTAACCATTAAATCACCACCACAGTGTCTTGTCTCCATTGGCAACATGCACGATTTGTGTCGATAGCAAGCGACGTCGCAGGTATCGGAGAGTGCAAGTGGCGATTGCAAGTGACATTGTAATTTAGTTTCTTTTGGCTCGTCTTCACCACCTGGCTAAATGTTGAGAGATTCAAACAAAAAGTAATCAATAAATAGAACAAAATAAAAAATAAAAAAGACTGCAAGTGACGTCGCTAGCGGAAGTGCAAGTGTCTGAGAGTGCAAGCCTGAGAATGCACGTCTGAGAGTGCAAGCGCCAGGCTGCAATAAGACCCTTTTGGAATAGCACCTCCTGGTGAGAGCAAAACCTGTAATTTCATGGTGTAACCACTAGATTCCTGTATAGGACTCTATAGAGAGGCTTTTGAATTCCCTAATTGTTTTTATACATAATTGTTTACTTTTATTAGGTTGTGGATTTAAATGTATATTAAGGCATTCTCAAAGACTACTTTTTGTCAAGGTTTATATTTTTTGTTGTTTTAAATGTTGATTTGAAGTGTAGGTTTTTGCATTATCACTACTACATTCAAACCTGAACACAGAAAGCAGTTTGTTACACAAAACATTAAAATTATATAAAAATGTAACAAAAAATAACAGGAATGCTTTATCAGAGCTTAATCCTTCTGGGTCTGATCTGATTTTAACCTCTTATTTCAGTCTTCTGACTCATTTTGGCTATATGGTTATAGCCATATCAATTCATTTGAGAATATATAATTCTGTATGTGTGTGTCTGTGAGTGTAAGTAAGTGTGTGTGAGTGGATGTATCCGTTTTACACTCTTGATGTTTTAGAGTGTAACCCCTTACTTGCTGTCCACTTTTTTACTGCATTGTAGTTGAATTATTGATTTTATTTTACATAGTTGCAGTGTTACAGTCACACCAGTTCATAGGTGTGTGTGTACAAGTGTGTGTCCGCGTGTGTGTGAGTTGGTGTGTTGATTTTGCACTCTAGATGTTTTAGAGTTTCACCCCTTCATTGCTGTGCAATTTTTTGGATTTTTTTTTGTAGATAGATAATCTTGTAGATAAACATTTTCTGTATTTTCGATTTTTTTTCCCATTTCCCATTCATTTCCTAAGGTCGGTCATTTTTGACCAAAGACCATGAGTGTGGCTATTTTTTTTTTACAATCACTTAGCTTTTTCGAATCATGCCCTCATTTTTTGTGTGTGTTCACATACCAAGTGCCATAAAAGTCACCAAGTTTCTTACCATTCTGGTGAAGCTACAATTAAAAAAAATTCTAAATGTAAAATTCTCCAGTCAGAAATGACCGAAGACCGCACAAGGGTTAAACAACAAGTCTGAAAGGGAGGCGGATGCTCTGTAACCTCGAAAAAAAGACACATCCTTGAGGCAAACAAGTAATCATTCCACACCCTCAGTGTCCCTTCATCGCATAATGGCCTTAAAGTGGTGAACGGGAGCGAGGGATTTACATGCTTGTTTACTCACAGGCTGAAATAACACAAAAGATGTGCACCACTTGAGACACAAAGGTGGTGAAATAATTTTTTCTCCTTATTGACGTCTAAGCCACGTTTGCTCCAAAAATGTTCACAGTGTCCTTTTCATTTCAGATCAAAGCTAACATCAGGAATCTGTTTTTAAGAGCTGGAAGAGAGCAAGGCACGCAATAAAAAGCTAAACTGACACCAAAAAAATTTCATTTACTTTGTCATGTACCAAGTAAACACAGGAGGATCTTGTTTTTGGCAGTTGTTTTTTTAGCACTGGAGCTAACACAGTCTAAAGCAACCATGTCAACAGTGCTGAGCAAACAAAACCAAAAAAAAATTAAAACCACAATGGAAAAAAAGGACGTGGGAATGTTCTTTGTGAAAACCGCTTAAAAAAAACGTTCTGAGGGCCAAAGTACATTCACCCACATTTCTACAGGACAATCAAAGAATGTTTATGGAGCTTTCTCTCTAAACGTGCTGAGCAAACAAAACCAAAAAAAAATTAAAACCACAATGGAAAAAAAGGACGTGGGAATGTTCTTTGTGAAAACCGCTTAAAAAAAAACGTTCTGAGGGCCAAAGTACATTCACCCACATTTCTACAGGACAATCAAAGAATGTTTATGGAGCTTTCTCTCTAAAACGGATGTTTTATCAAACAAGCTAAATACTTGGGTGAACTACTAAAATCAGGTTGAATTAACTTTTTAATATATAATTTTATGTCATTTTCAAATCATCCAAAATCAATTCGGGAATTTCCTATGTAATTAGAGATGTAATGATTCACTTAACTCATGATGCAATGTGATTTACGATACTGATTTCATGATACTGATTTCACAATACGATTTTCTCACAATTGTTTTTTAAGAAATGAGATATAAGACTAATTATAAACGAAAAGGTGCTCTTTAATTATTTCTCAGACAAAATTATGCACATTTCTTTGTTAAATTGAAATATGATTGAAATATGTCAAATGACAAAACTAAATTTAAATTATAAAACAAATCCCAAATCATGCTTATGGAAGAGCAGCAATATAGGGTTTCCTTGATTACCGCGGTAAACAAAGCAGAGCTGCGCTTAATCACTACACATTATACAGAGACAAGATGAAAAGAAAATACAGTCTAAACTTTTCCGAAGACAGTCAGTTCCCCTCAGAGATACATTCATACTGTACAAACCCCCACCCCCAATTGTCACATGTTTTTATTGATTTTCAACTGGCTCGGGGTGCATTGTTACATCCCTGGTTTTCATATAATTTTATCATGTTGCCATGAAGTTTCTAGAGTATTCTGGGTGGTTGCTTACCGGAAAACAGCAAATTCTAACTATGAACAATTGTAATAGTGAAAAACACCATTAAATACAAATAAATGTAATTAATAATAACTGTTCAATCAATGCTTAAGCTTTTCTTAAATTAATTCCTGTTTATTTCTCTCTCACTGTCAGCAAGACGAGAAGACAAGGACTTATTCCTTTGACTCCCTCTCTTTCTCTCTCTGGATGTCTCTTATGTCCTCAGGCCCTGCTTGTTTTCTACAAGTGTGAAACTACACAGGAAACTGAGACTGACAAACATTGTGCAGATGGTCCAACTAAATACCATCTAGCCATAGGCCAATGTTTCTCAAACCAGTGTCCATATAAAATAGCCAGAGGGTCTGAGTAAAAGTCCTGAATTTTGAACAAAAATCTCAACGAAAACTACAGCAAGAGTTTGCCATGAGATATATTATTCCAGCAAAGCTAACAGTGAGAGAACTCTGCACACTCGCACTTAGTTCTTTCTTTCAGTCATCTGTGTGAGAGTGTTTGGAAAAACACTGATAGACGAACACCTGAAGTTATGTCATTATGAAAGCAGCCAGTTAGACAGAAATAAACTGTCTAGCAGATGGCTGAGCCTGTCAAGAAAGCGTGTGGAAGTGAAAGTGGAGACTGAACTGAGAAATGCACAGCTGGCTTGAGGATTTCCTCACAAGAGACCTTAACTCTTCCTTCAGAAGGATTTTGCAGTTTTTTAAATAAATTGAATTAATATTATTTTAATAAAATGTTATTATTATCATTATTAATTCATAAAATCTGCTCAAATTTCAGACATTACTTTGTTGTCTTTCCTTAAAGTCCGCGTGAACCGGAAGTTGCGACCGACTTTACTTCCGTATTGTGACGTACTTCCGAGGGAAACGTAATATTGAATGAGAAAAACAGAGGGCGTGGCTTGTTTTTTTCTACTGCGAACTGACTGGATGTAGTAAAGTAGGCGTTTCATTCAGAACAACACTGACAGTTGGAGGGGCGTGTTTAAGGATGTTATGCTCAAGCCCAAGCCGTCAAACTGACGTCGTCAGAGAAGGTCCGTCATTTCAGAGGAGAGGTGCATTTTCAGATTTGGATTAAAGATTATGAAGGCAAACAATTTTTTTTGTGTATTGACTTGCACGGATTAATTGTTCACCACAAAAATAGCAGTGTGCACTAACAAAACAAATATAGTCAATTTTGATTTCATGTGTACTGTAAAAAGAAATGGGTCATGTGATTAATCATGATGATACATAATCTCTATTCATATTTTATAGATTTAATCTCATATTATATTAGATATTTAATTTAATTAAAAATTACATTACACCAGATTTTGAAATATCATACTGTTAATTTTATTAAAAAATAAATAAAAAAAACAGACCTAGTTGGGAATCACTAGTGTAGCGCACAGTGTTTCCCAGTGAATGTTTAAAACTTACCTGATGGGCCAGGATGTAGATGTTGTGCCCAACATCTTTAGGTCTGATCTGATCTGATGTCTCGTGATCAATCTCACTCTCATCTCCTTGAATGTAAGCCTCCTTGATCACGTCAACCTATAGATATGACACCAGAACATCACTTTACTTTAATTATGGCAAAGAACAGGGTATGTTACGACTGATAACAGATGATCTAAACTATATTCATTAGCTACACAACAGTTAGTTGAGGAACAGTGCTAATATACCACCTAATAGCACAACTACTGATTAGCTCACCAGTTCATTGGGTCTCATCTTGTACAGGATCTTATCTGCATTCTCGCTGTCATGACGACTCTCCATGATGGCCAGAAGAAGTTTAGATGCATTGTTCTAATTTTTCATTGTAAAGAAAAGAGCTTTTATTTGTTTATTTTTTTTATAAAATTACTGTGAAGTAAAGAATATTCACATATTTTCCTCCTGGAGATAAATGTGCAGATGTTTTTACATGCCAAATCAAAAATCTGAAACGCTTCAGAACATTTTGTTATCTGTAAAATTATATTATACATCAATTGCTTTCTTATTCAAACTACGTGAGTGACTGCAGCAAACAAGTACCTTCAGCTCGAGCACAAGGTCAAGTCGGTTCTTCCCCAGTGGATCAATTGGGTTCACAATGAGAGCGATGATAATGTCAATGCCGTTTGACTCATGCCTGGCTATGCATGTCTGTGGAGGAGGAAATGCAAAAAAAGACGGATTTTTGCATAATCATTAATAAAGCTAGAAATTAGTTCAGACATCATAATCTATGATCCCAAACTAAGTTTTAGATATGTAGAAAAGACTAGAAATTAGTTCAGATATCATACCAAATCTAAATATATTTAGTTGCCAAGGCAACATTTCTTATCATATGACTCATGTCACAGTTAAGGTTAGTTCTTGATTAGTACATGCCTTAACTCATCATTACCTCATATTAAAGTAATACATAATTCAGGTATTAGTACATGATTATTCATGTACTGTTACTGTAAAGTGTTACCCTTGGATTCATTTTTCCATGTGGAAAAAGATTTGTTCCCATTTTCCAGAGAGGATAACATTTCAATACCTGGTTTTCGTGGCAAGGACCCTGGCAGTACTCCGTGATGGTCTCTAGTGTCTGTTTGACCAGGTCCACATTCCTCTCATTAATGTAGAGCCCCAGCAGTCCCAGCCCTCCCGTTGTACTGCCACAGATACAGTCGAGAAACTGCAGCGTCTCGCACACAAGGTTATAATTGGTTTTGTTGTTCTGATCTCGCAGAAAGTTCTGTATACAAGAGAACAGAAAGATTTGGACTAACAACACAAGTCCTGAGTGGCAGAAATTAGTACCTCTATTCAGATAGACTCGTCCATACTAGGTTGGGGGTCCCTTGAGATTTTGATTGACTTGAGATTTGTACTTTTCAAACATCAAGGTGCTTTTTCTTCTCAAAATGGAAAAACACTTATTTAAAGCCCTCTGGTTTTCTGACACTGTGAAGGCAGCGTCACTGGATTTCACTTCTAAGTACACTACCTACCATTTCAAATTGCAGTGTTTAATACAAGTAATACGCTAAAATGATTCATAGCCAAAACAAACCACAGCTGAACAAAACTGGACCAGTAAAAATGATTTGCATCACCTGCAAGTCCCTGTTATGATTCTCACAGAGCAGCTGAAGGAAGCGTAGGATGGGTTTCATGATGATGATGGCCTGGCTCATCTGGGTCTCCTCCACCACCTCCTCCATCCCGTCCCCTCCCGATCCCATCGACTCCATCTCGGGGTACACTTCCAGGCGAAAGGTGCTGTAGGCTTTGGAGGTGACAGAGGAGGCATCTTTAAGCTGACCCCGAATGTCTTCTCTGAGGTGCAAGGAGTCTCGAACTTCATAAGACAAGAGAGAATGAACCCGAGATTATGAAACTGTTATTTATAGTTCTAACAGGATCAGTGTTATTTTAGTATTATTTACATACTATTATAGTATTTTATTAACATTTTGAACGAGCTTTTATATTGTCAGTTTTCATTTTAATTTGAGTTTTAATAATTTTATTATGTCATTTCATATCTTTTATAGCAGTTTTATATCTTTTTATTTAGCTTTAATGTCATTTGTTTTCCAGTTTTAGTTTTAGTAATTGTAGTACTTCTGTATGAGATGTAAACTAATATTTATGAACATTTGCAGCAACTTATTCAAAATTCTCTTTTTCAAATGACCATGTCTTGTGCACTGCACTGCTTGACATGAAGCAAATTTGAAATCCTTTCTCTCTCAATGAGAAATGTTGAAAAAAAACACTGCTTAACAGCAGGCCTTTGATAAAGTGCCAGTGACTCCTCACATGACACAGCAGTTGAAACACACTTTATCACAAACACACACTTGTTTGTGATAAATGGGCTATTCAGGACGCCCCCACGTTATCCAGCACACATTGGATGTCTGTTATACTAGTGCCTGGCTTATCAGAGTCCTGTCCTGGAGAACCACCTATACACATATGTACACACACAGAACACTGGTTAGTCAGGCATGAGAGGAGCAGAAATTGGGTGAGAGGATGTTAATGGTGAGCCAACAGTGCTTCTGCTGACGGTCACTTGTGAACCTTACCTCCAGAGGAAGAACTGTTCCCGCAGCTGTACTCCAGGGCTTTGGCGTGGGGCCGCTGGTTGCCAAAGTAGTGTGTAAGAAGACTTTTCCTCAGTGAGTTACCCTGAGGAAACCAGAGAGGAAGGCAGTTGGGTCATCCTTAAAATAAATGCTGTGCCCCCACGTTGTCCAGCGCACATTGGATGTCTGTTATACTAGTGCCTGGCTTATCAGAGTCCTGTCCTGGAGAACCACCTATACACATATGTACACACACAGAACACTGGTTAGTCAGGCATGAGAGGAGCAGAAGTTGGGTGAGAGGATGTTAATGGTGAGCCAACAGTGCTTCTGCTGACGGTCACTTGTGAACCTTACCACCAGAGGAAGAACTGTTCCCGCAGCTGTACTCCAGGGCTTTGGCGTGGGGCCGTTGGTTGCCAAAGTAGTGTGTAAGAAGACTTTTCCTCAGTGAGTTA